CAAATCCTCTAACCAAACATAACGTTGAAGAATTCATGCCTTATAACTAAAATAATATTATAACTAAAGAAGAAAAACGATTATAATTAAAAAAGAAAATGACATGGTTAAGGGTGCATATAATGCACCCCTTTCAAGGGTGTATATGTTAGAATTTCCCATTTAGGTAACATAAATCCTAAATTACTACATATTTATAATAAAAAAAAAAAATTAACCCCTAAATTATTACATATTATCATCTTTACCTCGTTGGCTTTGAAATTTGGCATCGGCTTCCCGGACTCCGCCCCATGAAAAAGTGGATTTCAATAAGGAAAAATTACTTATAAGTGGGATTTAAGAAAAATAAGTACGGGATATTGGTAAGTTTTTTGAAATAACAGCCGCAGTGGAGAATACAAAAGTAATTATTGAAAAATAATTTTTTTTTTTAATTTTAGATTGACCAATATACCATTTTCTTGTCTTTTTCTTAACTTTATGCCATCACATCTTTCATGTCACTCATTCACTCACACTTTTTGTAGAGAAGATTTTGCTTATGATATTCATCTTTGAATCAATAGTAAAAAAGTCATACATAATGATGCGGTTCATTACGAATATTTTACTTTAAAACAAAATAGTATTAAAGATGAATTTATTTGCGATAATGATATTATCACATCATTCTTCTAAAAATTTTTGTATATATTTTATATATGAATAGAATTTTCTAACCTATAAACCAATCATGAGAAATGAATAATCTTTCTCACAATTTTTTTATCATTTTTCACAAAATCATCCCATTCAAACGGAGTGCAAGGATTGTTGTTATTGTTGAAAAAATATATAAAAATTGTATTGAAATATGTAAAAATATTTTGAGATATGTGAACAGTGTATTAAAATTAGAGTAAATTGTTGGAACAATCTTCTATGTAAAAAAAAAAAAAAAAAAACTTGAAATAAATTCAAACGAAATAAATAAATAACATACCAGATTTATTTATCGAACCGAATTAAAATTAAGACTAAGTTGAGTGTGTGACACTCTATCCTTAAGGCAGATTCGCCCCGCTACGGTGCTTACGGTTGAGTGGCGTCTATCTCCCAGGATACAATGATCTTCACAAATTGTAGTAGCACTCCAAACAATTTGTTCGGCGAACCAAACCTGTGTTCTAACTCTCTAAATATTTATTCCTAAAATTATAAATGAAGAATAATGTACTAAAGATTACAAATGGACGGAAAGAACAAATTTCAGACTGATTTCTTCGGATCTCTTAAATACTGGATTTATGGCAGTATATATAGGCAACCAATCACTGCCCCGAACAAGTCCAAATAAATAGTGAAAAGGTGCATAAAGCCTATGAACAGGTGCACCCTCTACTATTCAAATTTGAAGTGTGGTTTTGACCGTAGTAGGAACAAATTTCCAAATACATTGAAAAGGGACCTGTTGGAATAGTTAAGGAACTGTTTCACCTTTATTGTTTAAACCATTTAAAATATATATATATATATATATTAAACTAGTTTAATAAATAAAGGAAGAGGTACTAATTTTAGGAAACTATTAAGGAACCTAAAATTTGAATTTAGAATTAAATTAAATTCCCACAATTACAAACTTTAGAAAACTATAAAGGAACTCAAAATTTGAATTTAGAATTAAATTAAATTCTCACAATAATTTTTATTGAAAAAATTCAAATGAATTTTAAAATAAAAAATTAATGTTAGACTCGAAAACGACGTCAACTTCCCATTCACTCATAAATGGTTTTGACGAACCGTCTTCACCGTGTGACTTGCCACATGGCAAGGAACACTTCACCTCTTCAGACTCGCCCCAAAAGACGTTCGGGGCCCACTCAACTTGGGCTCAAAAATATGCCTATATTAAACTATTTTCCAACATAAATTACATTGATAGTCCTTTCAATTTGCTCATTATATCATTTTGGTCCTTATAATTTCAATTAGCTTGATTTCGACCTTTAATTTTAAATTGTGTCAATTTAGTCAAATTGATAACGTCAATTAGGTTTTGAAGAAAAATGGTCACCAAGTTAGTTGAAATTAACTCATTGGATTGAACAAATTTATAATTTTGTCTATAAAATCAGAATACATGTTGCTTCTGCGTACATTGTCTTTCAAAAAATACTAACAATTGCAATAAATTGGATTAAATTGAGATAAAATTATAAATTTCATATCAAAATCGAGCCAATTGAAATTACAAAAATCAAAATGACACAGGACAGAAATATAGGATTATTGGTGCAATTTGTCCTTAAGATTATAAATATTTTAATATTTTGTGCATCTTATTGACAACTCTTAGAACTACCATTAGTAGGACGAACCAACCATGAGCTATTTATGAACGATTTGGTTCGTTTGCACAAAGTTTTTGGAATTAGGTAGAAAGAGGGAAAAAAATTATGGGAAAAGTATAAATCAATGGTACCTTCACAAAATATTTACAATTCATGAAAATATTTATCATTTTATTTATTAAACTTGATAAAATTTATCATTGATTTAATTTTATTTTTGAAAAATTGCAATTTCCACATGAATATATTAATACAGAACGTGATCCATTTTCCACATGAATCCGCGATCATTTTGTCTCATTTTTCTAACAAAATGGTCACATACCTCACATATGGGAGTTTAGATCCTCCAGAGTTCCTTCTCTAGAGTGATCTCTTTATAGTTCGATTCAATGGTTGAAATTAAGAGAAATCAAAATCACGTCATTTTGATTAAGTATGGAAAAACAAAAACAACACAGAACAAAAAGAGAGACAGAGAAGAGACCCCTCATTTCCCTCTCAATCGATAGAGGGAGTCCTTTGGGGTGCAGCAGATTGAAGATCGCTTGGTGGACCCAGAATTTTCTATTTCTTGATGTAGTTGCATTGTGTGTTTTCGTTGTATTGCTATTGTTATACGAACTCGCAGTTTGGGATTTTTTATCATACTAGTTGGACCCCACCCGCTACGCTCGTGGGGTTGCATTATTATTGGTAGAAATAATAAGAAAATAAAATTGAAATGATTATTTTTCTTCAAAAAAATCCCCAACACAAAATGCACAATGTTTCTTCTTTTCTATTGAATAATTAGTCACATTTTACATTTAACGAAATTGGGAACCAAAAAAAAAATCAGTCCCTTGTTGTCCTAGAAAAAATGAAAATACTTTGCGGATTAGTTAAATAGTTTAGTTTTTTTTTTCCCTTCTTGCATCCAGCCAATACTTTGTCAAAGGTTACATGTATGGTTATGCTCAACTGGTCATGAATTCCCTGTATCAAGAAGATTTGCAAATTAGAAAGGCATACTCATTCAGTTAGTAAACTAGTGTGGAAGAGTTCTTCAAATCTCCTATAAGCAGCTCTTGTGAGTAATGGGCATATGTATGGCCATGATTTCTTGAGTCAAATGGATGTTGCAACCACCTCTTTTAAGGATAAATTACAAATACACCCCTTGAAATTTGATTAAAATAGAAATCGCCCCCTTGATTTTGAAAATTACATTCCACCCTCTGCGGTTTCTAATTTCATAACAAATCGTCCTTTTATTAATAAATCATCAAGTCAATTAACAGTTTTTAATGATTTTAAAAATACGTTTCAATTAATAATTTAGATAATTTTATTATTGTATAGGAGAGCAATTATAAATTTCATTTGTTTTAGTTAATTATGTTAAATAAAAAATTCTAATAAGGGGGTATTTGTAATTTTTCAAACTACAGGGACAATCTGTATTTTTAGCAAACTTCAGGGTTGTATTTGTAATTTACCCCCTCTTTTATTAGCATGTGCTTGTGGACATGCAACTAAAACCTAAACCACTAAAATCACCAGAAAATATGAAGAAATATAAGCATAGAGGCGACCATTTCTTCAAAAGAATCAAATACCATTTTAATGGTATATGCCCAATATAATTTGCACAAACCATTGCAATCTAACATCTATTCATGTAGTCCAAATTTCTATATGACATATTACTAATAGTTAAAAAAATAAATAAATTACTACAGCAGTGATTCATCCCCTTAAAATTAGAGCTCTAATTGAGCTCTAGTGAGGTGGAAAATAAAAAAAATAAAATAAAAACAAAAAACCAAAACAACACATCAGATGAGCCTCACACACACATTAGAGCAATTAGAGCTCCAAAATATTTTTGATGAATACCATGGTTCTTATTTTTGACATACAAAAACACCGCCCCTTATTGAGCACTCAAGTTTCGCACAAGTTGCTTAATCCATTGCTTGTTGCTTTCGAGTCGGAGCCCAGCTCCACTCCAAATTCACCATCGCTTGAAATTCACATTTTCCATCATATGGTATTGATTCTATTTTTCATATTTCTTTATTTTCTTCAATCTTTGTCATAACAGACCTCAACAGATGGGTTTAACCCGAAGATCCAATAGCTGGTTCATTCATTCATTTTATCTGAAGTATGACCTTTTGATGAATGACTGTCAAACAAACAAACAAACAAACAAACAAGAGAGAGAGAGAGAGAGACAGAGAGAGAGAGAGACAATAGTTAACTAAAAGAATTCATTCTAAAGTTATTGATTTTATTTCTCAACTTATCACTTAAAGAGAAAACTCAGGTGTGGATCATACACCTGGTTTTGATTGGAACCAGCTAGTCGCAATCATATTGATCTATTATTATGGGATTTGAGACATTTTCCTTCCACACATTCTGAAAATCAATCTTCATGGAAAAACCACTGCGTGTCATGTTTTGATCGTTACCCCAATTTCATAGTTGGACGGAAATGGTTCATGAAGACTTATATCATGCACTTGCACCAATGGACTTGATTTCGCAATCTTTCAATATTAACAGATGAAGGTCATCATCATTCAAGTTATTCACTAAGCACATGGGACGGAACAAACAAGTTTTAGAACCTAAGAAAAAGATAATTTATCAAACAATTAACAACAGAAAAAAAAAAAGAGAGGAAATTATTGAAAACACAAATAACAATATTTTATTATGTTAAACAAAGTCTGACAAGTGATTTTCTTAGTTTATATTTTTTCTTGGTGGTTATTAAATGGCCAATGAAATTTGGATTATGCCGAATGACAGCCTAATAAGTTGTCAATTCAAAATAGAAAATGAAAAATAGAGGGATCTTTCCAATCAATACTGTCACGATATAGTATCCAGGTGCAGCTCGTTAACAGTGGCTTGGCTATAGTCATTATGACAAAAAAAAAAAAAAATGTTTTGATAGATGTACAAACCTCTCCACCTGGAAGACGAAGGTGTTCAGACCATAGCGTAACGTGAAGACTCGAATAAAATTTTCCTGCCTTCCAAGGCTTTCCTCTCATACACGAATCCACAAATTCTTTGTCTTCAATAAGTACACCAATCTGAATCAACAACATTTTTGTTAACAACTAAGAGAACTACTACAAAAAAGTGGAGGAGATTTGTACATTAAAATGGAAGGGCATATCATAATAGATGTGTAGTTTGACAAGAAGAAGTTGGAGTTGCCAGTAATATGATTGGTTGTGACTAAACGGAGAAACAATTCAAGAAGTCAACAATAACAACAAAATTCCGTGTGTTAAGAACAGCAATCTGAAAGTAAAGAGTTGTATCTACTACTTTAGTTATTAGTTTGTACATTTTAAAGGGGTAAAAAAAATTTGAATTGTTCAACAACTTGTATTATTGAGAAATTGTGACTTATCAATCCATCTGTGAAAGTTGTTCTCGCTTGAACGAAAAAAAGGTAATACTCATATAATGTAGACGCAACAAAAGAACTCAAAAATAAGAAAGTTATCACAAAAATCTATCTAATCTTATAATCTGTAGATCAGATTATTCCACCACTCTTCTGATTGCAAAGAGCATCAATGGCTCACTTCACAATTTTTTTTTTTTTTTTTTTGGAAAAAAAAATGAACAAAAAGAATCCATAGATGCAAAATTTTCAAACTTCCATTATGCAATCAACTACGAGATAAATCATACTGTATCCGGTTCTGCAATTTAAAACAGCTAGTCAAAGAATAGAAAACATTAATTCAAAAGGATCCAAAAGTTTAAGTTGATACCTCAGAATCTCTTAATCCAAGTAAACTCCTGTTGTTTATATTAGCTAATCCTATCAAGGATATGTAGTCATCAATTATCATGATTTTGCTATGCACATATATCAGCAGAAACATAAGAATGCGAAATGAGATGTGAATATCTTCTCTCCATACCATACTTCACATGATCCGGTTCCCAAATTTGGTTTTCTAGTTTTTGTATCTAATACCAAACAATTGAGCAGTGAAGGCATGTTCGGAATAAGGTAGTAAACAACTTCTACCAAAAACAAAGTAAACAAATCGAGAGGAAAAAAAAAATAGAAACATAAGGAACGCTCTTACAGGAATTTTAGCGAATAGCTGGCATGCTTCCATCAATTGAGTCAAGGAATTTGAGAATCACTCTCTCCAAAACCTAACTAGAGAATGTAATTGTTGCATTTCAGCTGGAGAGTAAACAAAAAAAAATTAAACACTAACAGATATTCCATTTATTGATGCAAAAATGGATTAAGAAATTAAGATAATGATACTAAATTAAGAGAAACGAATGAGGTACATACCAGAGGGGGGTAAGAGAAATCAAAAGGCTTTTCCCTGAATTGAAGATCTATAATAATTGATGGGAGAGGGTTTCATGACGATTGAAAACGAAATTCAGGAGCCACCGCCAAGAGTGTGTAGAAAATGAATTCAAAACTGTGAGCATACAGTGTATACATGTTCACCGCCAAACCGAAAGCTTTCCAGAGCACAGATGGGAGCCCTGGGTTGGCTTTATGGGCAGTTCACTGAAACAAAAAACAAAAACAAAAAATATATCCTTTTTCAACTTTATCTTCTTCGTCCTTTGTACAAGAAAACAAGGGGAGGGTTGAAATTCATTAATGAAAAGTAGTGTTAAGGTGAAAATGACATTTTCTTTTATGTTGCTAGAAAATATCAAGCTTGGCTTTTGATTGAGTGGAAACCAATCCCAAGCTTAAGTAGCTTGGTTCATGTAGAAGGATGGTTTCTTGGTGCTTAATGAGTCAAGTTTGGGATCAACTTGAAAAATCAAAGAACTCTAGAAGTTGGCATTGTAAAAAAGCTCCTAATCGAGCTTAAACACAAGTAACTCAATATGCTCCATATATAGTATTCTAGCTATGATTACAGTCAACAAATATGGCCTTATTGACACTTGTGTTGCCTTTCTTGATTCAGTGCCTTGGAGAATTCACTATAATTATGCAAACCTGTAATACAAGAATTTGTGTTTCTAATGATGAAAATGGAAGAGTTTGAAATGAAAAATAAATAAAAATGGATGAGTTTGAAAATATTCTTGAAAAACAAAAAATGTAATTTGCAATATTCATATCCATTGGTATCAACTACGCGGCTATAAAACAAACGAAGTTTTATTTTACTAAGAGTTCTCTATATCTAGGCAGATTTAGATCCTAAACTAACTTCGGGGTTAGCTTTGTTGTTCTACTAAAACACTTTTGGAAGGACTGTTTACTGTTGGCACTGAGAGTTTTGAATTGCTAACATTTACTATTTCACTACAGATCATATAAAAGCAGCCCAAGTAAGATTGCAAAATATCCAAACTACCTCACAAATGTCACCTAAGATCATGACAATTAGATATTGCATGCATGAGGAAAGCAACTAAGATTAAAAGATTTGAAATTCACCTCTCACCAGAATTAGAATCTTTGAAAAGATTACTTGAGGAACAATGGTTTCTCTAATCTTTTCATTCACAGTGAAAATCCAACTAAAATTATGCTTAAAAGGTAAATTGAACTATGTTTAATATCATTAGCAATACAAAAAAGGTAAATTGAAAAACAAAAGAAAAAAATTGTAAGCCATTTGAATTTGCACATAACCAACTCTAAAAGAACACTTCGGAATTGAACTTGTCTAAAGTTAAGTTGCGTTGCATCCACACGAGACTAAACACAACTCGATGCATTTACAAAGTTATAAAAATTCAATTTTTAAATTGTTTTTTGTAATTCAAATTTTATTAAAACACAAAGAAAACTAATTCAAATTATATTCAAACAAACTCCAAGCAATTTTGCAAATTACTATTTTCTTTTACTGAATGCTCACTTGAACAAAGGCAGATAATTGTATTAAGATCAGATGAACTATTGTCTTCTCTTCTTTTGTTAAAAAACTATTGTCTTCCTATTCTTCTTAATGGTGCTTCAACATCAACTACTGACTTTGTTGTTCTTAAGTACTTATTTAAAAACAACAATTTCAACTGAAGCTTGAAATGTTGAGGCTCAAGTAGGAATAAGGGATTCATTTACAAATATTAATAAGAACTTCAAACCAAAGCACAAATGCATGAACATTAATTTGAGCAAAAAACAAATTCAATTCAATGTCGACACTAACCAAGCTCATAAGCAGACATCTGAAAACAATTGTCAATGAAGCAAACATAGGACAATGGAAGTAAGAAATGGAATTCATAGCTACGGGAATATGGAAGTTAGGGAATGTCATGCCTCTTTGGTTTCTTGGACCAAATTCAGAGTAGTTTGCAACAAGGCAACAATTTACACCTCTTAAAATAGCAGAACTTGTGGAAGAAGCCTGAGTGGAAAGCTGCAGCAACACACGCGGGAAGAGGTGATGAACAGCTTGTTGGAGAAGACCCAATTGATGGAGATGTTGCTCGGCAATCTTCAACAAGGGTGAATTTTCCATTTCACCTGGGTTAGACACACTGATGCTAGAGGCGGATTTTCCTTCTTTTATAGGTAGGTTATAGACTAGAAGATTGTTCCTAGCATTGTGTTTTTTATTTTTTTAACACTTTCTACCAGTAAATTTTTGCTTTCCTCATAATAAAGATCATTCACATTTCCCATTAGCTATATACATTGATTAAGTTTTAGTTTTGCATCTAACTAATATGTCACTGATACCATTACACCATCAGATTAAGTTTTAGATTAATATATGATGAGAGTGAAATCAACATAAATGAAACATTTTTCCCATTACTCAATAATTTATGAGTGATATTGGTTAGTATTTGATGTATAACAACTTCATAATCCATCATATTATGAGCTAAATCTTTTTTTGTTTTTGTTTTTCTCTTTTAGCTTCTATGGCATTAGTTTTTTGTTTTGAGCCAAGCTCCCTTATGTACAATAGAACTACTAGAGAGCATAAACCAAAAAACGAAACTATGACAAAACTAGATAGAGAAGGCATCCATATAAACATAGAGAAACCTTAACTAGTTATAAATATTTGATGACAATGCCACAAGTACAACCACTTTCATGCCTTTTCTAGCTTAACAATTACAGATTCAGAAAGTAAAATATGGGGGAGAAGAAAAGTGAGGGAAAGAAAATCCTAGAACATCAAAATAACCTATAGATACGGCTTTAGTTAAGAATCATTTCTTCTTCCATCCTAATGCCTTTGTCCCCTAACCCCAAGAAACACAGTTCTAATCTTGTGTAGTTCTTTGAGAACATCTTTCACACTCATTCTTTCACTCGGCATTTCAGCAGAACATGAAACTCCAATTTGAAAGACTGGTACTAGGCAAACCTCTAGTTTAGAAATGTTGGTTGTACTACGTTGCATGCTCCTACTTGGCTCCTCTTCCATTTCCAATATGATTTGGGGATCAATGATCTGCATTACTTTGCCCGGAAGACACATTTGTACATAGCTATGGAGGTTTACATTGCCCATAAACATGTTATTAGTTGGTCTTTTTCCTGTGAATATTTCTAGTAGCAACACTCCATAACTGTACATATCACCTTGCATTGATACCTCTTCACCCATACCATACTCTGCAATATGAAATAGTTAAAAAAAATGCCCAAAATTTTTACTTTTGGTATGATTGTTGAACTAATAAGTTGTATTTCTTTTGCTGAAAAAAAAAGTTAAACATTTCAAAAGATAAAATTATCTCAAGGGTTAAAATCTATGTTCAAACACCATAGGGGTAGGACAATGGTTGATTTAATTTGTTGTGGTAGCTATACAGACAATAAGGCAAAGTCAAGGAAAATCATCTCCAAAACATGGCTTAATTTCTATATAATCTCGTAATTAATTTTTAGTTCACCGCAAGATAATAATATAATGTAACTAAATAATATTTCTTAATCAATTTCAACGTAAGAAGCACTAAACAATTACCTGGGGCAACATAGCCAATTGTTCCTCTAATCCCAGTTGAACTTGATTGCTGATGAATAGAAATTCCATTGGTTACTGAAAAAATCTTTGCCAAGCCAAAATCACTAACATGGGCACACAAATCACCGTCAAGAAGAATATTACTTGGCTTTAAATCACAATGAATAAAAGCCATTTCACAATGATGATGAAGATAATCCAATGCACATGCCACATCAATGGCAATGTTTAGCCTTTGAACAAAGTTCAAGTTCTTAGGTTCATGTGGCTCTAAAAGACTTGGGTGTTATAGCGATCCCGGTTTTCCTTTTCTTTACTTGTTATATACAGACTTAGGTTCCGTGGAGCCGGTTGTTGAGAGTATGTTGTTTGCACCCTTTAATCCTTATTTTGAGTCTTGGGTTGTGTTGGGAAGATTTGGAGCAGGTTGGTTGAGCTTAGGAACCAAGTCTAGTTGCCCAGATTTTGGCTTGTCCACTCGAGCGGGGGTTTGGACGCTCGAGCGGGGAATACACCCATCCAGTATGTCCTGTGTAAAGTTGGCCGCTCGAGCGGGGGATTGGACGCTCGAGCGGGAAGTCGTGAGTGACGCTCGAGCGGGGAGTTAGGAGCTCGAGCGGGGACCTGTCTGCAAAAACTTCTGGGAGTGTGCATTCGCCGCTCGAGCGGGAGTTTGGCCGCTCGAGCGGGAGTCTATGGGTGGCGCTCAAGCGGGGGTTTCCACGCTCGAGCGGGGCGACTGGTATAAAAATCCGAGATCCGACTTTCTGGATCATTTTTCATCTCCTTTTTGATTTTAAAACCCTAGAACCGTCTTCTCCCTCTCCCTACACACCTTCTCTCTTAAGTTTGATCTACTTAGAGTGTATTTCTACCCTAAGTCCTTTGTTAAAAAGATAGAGTGGGTCAAGGGCTTCCGTTTAATCTGAACAATCTTGGGTTTGGAGCACTTTGGTTTTCGTCATCTTCTCCATTCTTGTTTTCTTTGAGGTAGGGATTTCCTACTCCATTTTATAGGTTTTGCTCTAAGTTTTGGTATTTTGATGTGTTGGGTTACTTTGGTAATTTTCGGGAAAACCCTAGTTGTTGTAATAAATTAATTTATATAATCAATTCAGGGAAAATTGGGGAATTTAGTTGAATTCATGGAATTAATGACTTTATTGATTAAATGGTGTAGTTGGTTAGTTTAATCACTCACCTATGAGAATGTTGGAATTATGTTAGTTGATACATTTATTTCCTGTTTAGAAATAACTGTTTTGGGCTATCGGTGGAGGATAGTTGTGATTGTTGTAGACATTGCATGTGGATTAGGAGGATAGCATTGCATTTGCATACATTGTTTTGTGTGTGGGAGGAGATGGGGGATGTACTCCACGGTTTAGGGGAAGTTAGGGGATGGACCTCTAAACCGGATTTTGTTTGGGAGGAGATAGGGGATGGACTCCATTAGCATCACTTTTATGTGTGCTTATTTATATAGAAGTGTTTTTGTTGATACAGCACTAAAATGTGTATCAATTTGGAAGTATGAAGTGTTTTGATTTGAGCTTGAGTCTCATTTGTTTGTTGATATTGGAAGGATGTGAATATGATATATGTGATTCACTGTTGTAAGTTTGGCCAGGTTCTGAGCCATGTTGATAAAGTTGGAAGGTAAAACGTGTCTTAGACAATAGTGTCATGAGACTGTAAAATAAAGTAAT